AGCTTGTAGGAAAGCCAAGTTGTTGGTCTGGTGTAGGTGTGGAAAAGCATGGATTTCAGATCTATAAACACCCTATGCCAATACCTTACAACTTCAGTGCATGAAACAGGTTTAACCAGTGGCCATGTTTTATAAGAAAGGGTTTCCAAGTGCCAGATGTATGCCTGGTCTTCCTGCAATTCTCCCAGGGAGTTCAAATTGGATCCTTCACCTTCATTATCTCTGAGGGGAAGTAGTGCCCACGCAGTATCCCAGGAGTCACAAAACCGGTGTTTTATTACATGCAACATAGTCATTAAAACTGAACTTTATTTCCGAGTCCACCGGAGGCAGAAGAGAAAATGGCCCAGGCAGCCGACTTCACACCTGCACTCCTCTGCCCAGTGCATTTCTGGTTTTGATTTTTCATTCCAGATTTGGAGATGGTTTCAGAGTGGGAAGAGCTCTAGGCTCTTAGAACCTGGTATTGTACTGAATGAAAGGCAGATATCTTTGACTGTTGTTGACTCAGTTCCAACTCATAGCTATAAATCATACCACTAAACCACCAGAGCTTAGGTGTAGGCATTAAAAATGGAAACTGACCACTTAAAAATCCAAATGGTTGGCTTTCTTAGTAAGAAACCCTCCGAAAATCTGCTAACACTGACCTGTTGTTTTTGTTGTTGTTAAGTGCCATCAGCTCAAGTATGGCTTCCAGCCACTCTCTGAACAACAGCCCTGGATCCTTTCCTATCCTCTGCCACCCTCTCCATCTCTGACACTCTTGAGACCATTGCTACAGTCACCATGTCAATCCATCTCATTGGGGTATTCCTCTCATTTGCTGACTATCTTTCCAAGCACGATGTCTCTTTTCCTTGCATCATGTCCAGTGTCCAACAAGTTCATGAGAGAAGAAGCTTTGACATCTTTGCCTCCAAGGAGCACTCTGGTTGCACTTTTTCCAAGACATATCTATTTGTTCTTTTGTCAGTCCATATGATATTCAGTACTCTTCTTTAATGCCACAGCTCAAAGGCATCAATTCTTCTTTTATCAGATTTATTCATTGTCCAGCTCTCAGCTGCATAGCAAGTAATTGAAAAGGCCATAGCCTGAATCCAACACACCTTAGTTTTCAAACTGACATCACTGTTCTTCAGTAATTTAGAGAGGTTCCTTATGGTAGACTTGCCCAATGCAATTTGTCTACTAATCTCCTGAGTGCTAGCACTAAGAATGTTGATTGTGGATCCAAGTAAATGAAGTAAAACATACATTAAAATTACATGCTAGAGCCAAAAGAAAGCTAACTCCCTTAGACAGTGACCTCTCTCAGTTCAAACCCATGAGCACTTGTGTAATTAGGGGCAGAATCGTGGCCTGTCCTCAGTCTTCCAAGTTGGTGTTCTCCCAACTATGTCACGCTTCCCCAATCTATTTAATGAAATCAATGCTGTGTTGATTTTAACAGTCTGCTCTTTCTCAAGCTGAGGTCAGAGCATTGCTGAGTTCAGTATGAGTCACTTTTGGAACATCCAGGGGCACTGCATATTTTTCTGGTGTAGAAAGCGGGTCAGACCGTATATCAGAGTTGAAGAGCTCCTGCATGCAATGTGTTCCATTCATCTATGAATTAGACAGTGCATCTCCATTTCACAGTCAGTGATGTCAAATTCTACACACCCACAGAAATAGTAAAGGGTGATGGGAACTGGGGTGATCACTGTTGAGGTTGTAAGTCCCTGTACTACCATTTATTACCCATGTATTCCTGGACATTCTGTAACCTCAGTCTTAGTTGAATGATAAGGACTGTTGCTCTTCATAGGGTGGATGTGAGGACTGAAAGGGTAATGCTTGCACAGTCTGGGCACAAGTTAGAGTCCAAAAAAGGAAAGTTTATTAAAAGACCTAAACATTTTGTGATTTGTTTAATGGGCTTCTTTATTACAATATAGTGTGTGTCCATTAAGCATATAAAAAGATGTTCTCCTAAAAGCCTTTTGAAACATAATGTATCTTCCTCATTTTATCAATAAGAATTCAACTATCACTATATTTAATATCTGAAAATCTTGACTTATTCATTGAAAGGAAACATCAGAGTCTAATTCATAGAGCTGTTGGGAAAATGCAAACAGCAAAGTCATAGGAGCTTAATATAGAGTATAGCAAAGTAGTGTTTACATTTTTGGTTTTGCTTTTAATAGTGTATTTCCAAATTTTTCCCTCTGAAAAAGAGGGATCTCTGTATCTCCAACAGAACAGAGTAACTGTTAAGGCCAGGATCAAGCCAGGAGGCCTGTCGAGACTTCTCTTTGTCCTGAGGCACTACTCCTGGGACAGGCCTACTCCTGACATGAGTGGAGCCCAGGGCAAGAGCATCAATATGTTTAAATACCTTAAAATGGTAAATCAGACCAACAAATTGCTTAATCAAATGTGCTGTTTCATCCTGTCTTGATATGTACACCTTCATTGTAAAGTGGCAAGCCAAGTTTGAATTTAGAATTGTTGGATTCCTTGGAATTCTAAGCCAAAATTTGATTGAACAGGGAGTGTGGACCCTTCCTGTTTCACCCATACAGAGGGGGCTGCCTGTGTGCTTGTGTGTGGGCGCTCAGGCCGAGGTTCAGTGACTATTTGTCAGGTACCTACTGCATGCCAGGCAACATGTCAATATTTTCTCCTGTTTGACCTCATTTAACTCTCATTATAAACCTGGGGATAAATATTGCCTTGCTCTTGTTAGATGCTGTAAAGTCAGTTCTGACTCATTGCAATCCTGTGTACATACTGTAATGGTTATGTTTGAGTCCACGTTTGCATTCACTGTGTCAATCCGTCTGAACAAGGTTCTTCCTCTTTTTTTGGTCCTTTCCAGATGAGCCAACTAAGATTTCTAAATGTTGCTATTTCCTGAAGGAAGTGTTGACTGAGGGTAGAATTATACTAATCTCCTTGTGCCATCATGGCCCAGGATAGATCAGGGTTCAGAGCTATTGTGCATAGGGTAGCTATGAGTCGTGGTCAGCTTGGCAGCACAAAACCACAGCATCATACCAGCAGGAACTGGCTCCATAGTCATATTGGAAGAGTGGTCTTATGCTTCCCCTTTCCCCCCATTAAGACTCCTCTGCTCTTTTATATGGTATAAAATGTACAAAACAGATGGATGCATTTGTTATTACTTAAATCTCCTTAATGAGTTTCATGATAAGGTAAATACATTCAGTCCTTACTGATATGGAAATATTTATAAGCATTAAGCTTGGAAGTAGAAGTGGCATCCACTTCTGAAATAGCTTGCCTCCAGAAACCCTATGAACATGGAGAAATGATGGAAGTTATAAAAGTGTTCAGGTCTTTAGTTCTTAGGTTGCTATGAGTTGTCTACGACTCAATGGCACTTAACAACAACAATTTGTACAATTATGTACTTAATATTACATACCTGTCTTGGAGAAAGAGAGCTCTTAGAGTAGTCAATAGGACTTGATGCTACTAACCCAAAGACCATACCTTTCTTCTGGTTCAAATCCAGCAGCCAGTTTGTAGGGGAAAGCTGGGCAATTGCTTCCCATGCATATTGTTAGGAAGTGTAAGTCCTTAGAAACGGACATCATGCTGAGGCAAATATAGGGTCAGCGGGAGAGAGGAAGACCTTTGAGGAGATGGATGGATTGGCCCAGTGACTGCAAAGTGGGTTTGAGCATGACGGAGCTTGTGAGGATGGTCCAGTTAGGGCAAGTTTCAGACCTGTTTACAGAGAGAGTGTCTCTATGAGTTGGAACTCCTTGATAGCACCTAACAACATCTGAGTAGAACGTGTTCATTTTAGAAAGATCATTTAAGCGTTCAAAGAAGTAGTAGAATCTATATCCGCGAGCTTCTTGGAAGTAATTTTGAGATTGTTGTTGTTGTTATGTGCCGTCGAGTTGTTTGCGACTCATAGCAACCCTATGCACAACAGCCCTAAACCCTGCTCTGTCCTGCGCCAACCGCACTGCCTCTGACACACCCATCCTGATTACCCCAGTCACCGAATCAGTCCATCTCATAGAGGGTCTTCCCCTCCTGTGCTGTCCCTCCACCCTCCCAAGCATAATGTCCCTCTCTAAGGACCCGTCCCTCCTGGCAACATGTCCAAAGTATGTCAGATGAAGCCCCAGAATCCTTGCCTCCAAGGAGTAGCTTGGTTTAATCCTCTCCAAGATGAATCTGTTTGTTTTCCTAGCAGTCCATGGTACATTCAATACTCTTCTCCAGCACCACAGCTCAAAGGCATCAACTCTCCTTCTGTCCTCCCTAGTCATTGTCCAACTCTCTGATGTATAACAAGCGATTGCAAAGAGCATGGCCTGTATCAGGTGCACCTTAGTCTCCAGAGAGACACCGTTGCTCCTGAGTACTTTAGAGAGGTCCCTAACAGCAGACTTTCCCATCGCGATACGCTTTTGAGATAGATGTGTTCAAACCGAAGCATGCTAGGAGGAGAGCACCCAATGATCTGGTCATACTCAGCTTCACAGAGAAACCACAAGATATGGTTTTCAAATATCGAAGGTGCTTTTGTGAAGAAAAGAATCTTCTTCTCGACATGACTCTTCTGGGCAGGCTTAAGATAAGATGAACTGTGTTACAAGAAGATGAATTCTAATATGAGCAATATCTATCTGATTATTCAAGCTACACAAAAGAATGGATTCTGCACCAGCATCTGCCTGATCATTTGAAGTAAAGGTGGTTGGAGCCACCTTAGAGGGATTAAGTTCTCACTTCTGGAAGAGTTTAGCTCTTTGACTGTTGGCAGGGCAGTTGTGAGAGGGGAGATGGCATCGCATCAAACTTACACTTTCACCCTGTAATCTTTAAGTCTTCAGGTATGAAGTTGTGGGTTTTAGAGTTTGATAAGAATAATATAATAAAGGGCAGAGTTTGTAAGAATTTTAGGACTGTTTCCAAAGTACCTTCCCAGAAGTATTTTTCCGAATCATATGATGTATCTCTTGCAGGAGAAAATGCAGAAGTTTCGATGGACGTTTCGCTGGCTTACCGGGATGATGTGTTTGCTGAATGGACAGAAATGGCCCATGAAAGAGTGCCACGAAAACTCAAATGCACCTTTACATCCCCCAAGGTAGGATGCCTTGAAGTGTAAGCTGGTGGAGGTTCTGTTCGGTCACTAGATATGTGGTATGATTTACTGCACACACATGTGCTCTTATTTCTTGGTATGTATCACCCACAAAGTTGACCATCATCTTTTTTCTCAGTGGAGAAAAAGTTGCTTCATGCCCTTAGTTTATCTATGTCTCTAAGGAAGCATCATAAAGCAACACTTACTTCCTTGGTAAGTAGCTGAAAATTATGAACTCTGCTAAGTTGTTTCTGGGTTTGAGAATCTGGGCACATTGACTTAATGCTTGTGTCTATTTCTCTGTCTAGACATTTGTTTGTGACCAATGTTGAAATCTAGTAATGTATGAGATCTAGCAATTCCAGTGAATACCACAAACAAATAAGAAGACCTGAGAAAGGAAATCTGCCTTCTGTTCTTATCTTTGTAAAGACTCTCCTTTCTCAGATTCTTCCAGGGAGACGCTTTTACACACTCTCAGGGGCTTACTCTCCTGCTTTGGGCCTTTCTCTTCAAGTACAGTCCTTTCAGATGGGGCAACGCTGGGCACATTTTTCCATTTAGGTTTTCTATCATCAAACATTCACATATTTTATCATACTTTCTTTTCTCAAGCTACCCTTTGAAATCTATCCAGTACTTTTACCTCATCATTTCTTCTTTGTCATTTTAACTACTCTGTACTCAAGAGCAAGCTCCAGTCTCTTCTGATATCCATTTTGTTGCCTCTTTTCTTTCCTCTTCATTTCTTTTTTCTTCACAGTGTCTTTGATGTCATCTCATAAGTTATCTGATCTTCAGTCATTCATGTTTATTTACTGAGGTGGTCTTTAAATTCAGTGCAGTACATTAACAATTGTGCTTTGGCTCCCTTGAATTGGTTTCATTTTCTTCAGCTTCATCTTGACCTTGCATATGTGCCATTGATGATCTGGTACACACACAGACAACCCCTGGCCTTGTTCTAACCTAGAACAGGAGCTTCTCCATTTCTCTTTCCTCAGATGTAGTAGTATTTATTCTTGCATATTCCATAAGGTGAGCTTATGTGTATTGTTTTATGCTGTCAAGTGGAAACTGACTCATAGCTCGACCCTAGAACTGGTTTTCAGCAGATTGCCCATCTTTTGCTCACAGAGCAGCTGATGGAATCGAACCACCTGCCTTTGAGCTGACAGCACTTTAGTAATACAGCTTTATTGCATATTCAGACCACAGAAGTCGGTAAAATATTCAATTTCTCTTTGTAAATTATGTTTGGTGAGTAAATGTAAATAATCATTGTATTCATTTTTTCTTCCTTGTGGGCATATGGATGTTATCCTACCACTGACAGCATTATACTTGAGAGTAGATCTTAAAATGTTCTTTTTGAGGAGGACTTCAGTACTGTTCCTTTTAAATTTGTTATCTCATTTGAGTATTCTGTATGATTATCTGGTTTGAAGTGGCTAATAGTACTTCATTTTACCTCTCTAGGATATTGATCTTGAAGCATTCCCTTGAAATTTTTATAACTTCTAGCTTTTCTATAGGGAGCTCTGGTGGTCTAGTGGTAAAAAGCCGTGCTGCAATCCCAAATGGACCTGCTTTTAATCCACCAGCTGTTCCGTGGGAGAATGATCACCAGTCTACTCCTGTGCAATTAACTACCTCTGCAAACCTACTGGAGGGTCAGCTAAGGGTCAGTTCTGACTCTGTGGTACACAATAACAACAACAACTTACCTATATTAATAAAATTCCATTTTCTTTTGTGCATTTTACAATTCAGTTATTAGGCATTCGCATCTGTGCCTTCTCATTTTGTGTCCCCAAACCTTGACTACATTCACATCATTAAGGACAACTCTGTCTTGAGGAAACAGAGAAGTTGCTTCCTCAACTCTTATAGCTGTGGATATGATCACATTCAGAAATAGACTTTTCTTTATTATGTTAGGAAGGACTTACCAGTGCACAGTGTTTCCTAAATCTAATTATGGCTGAATTATAATAAGGTACAAAATATACATAGGTTAAGTGAGTACAAACGAGGGAAAATAGAGGCCATATAAAGATCACCAGAGAATTGAGGAATGAATATCAAGATGGATGTGTGTGTGTGTGTGTGTGTGTGTGTGTGTGTGTGTGTGTGTGAATGTGTGTTATAGTAGAAACTGAGACAAGGATCTTTCTAGAGCTGACACAGAAGGAGTCTTCCTCTAGGGTCATCACCTTGAATTTAGATTGGACACACTGGAGCATCATGAACTGAAGAAATAAAGTTCTGTTCCTTTACTCATGATATTTCTGTTATATCGATAGTAGGAAACTAAGATAGACTGCAACATATTTATTCTAAAAAGAAGCGTGTGGTAAAATTAAGTCAGGAACACCAAATTGCACACCAAACTATGAATCAAAAACCTTGAAGATAGGACCAAAGAATCTATGTTTTATCAGTCTATCATTTTGTTCTTTTTTTTTTTTCTTTTCATTTTTTTTTCATTTTGTTCTTTTAAGCTGATAAACTTTGAAAACAAGCACTCTAAACTCTGTGCTATGTAGAATAGCTTAATATTTTTAGGTATTTGTGTACAATGAAGAAGTTAATTCAAACTATTCTCACTGCAAATTCATTGCGTCTTTCAAAACTGAGTCTTGTTGGACATGTAAGCTGAAGGATTTCAGGACATGGAATTTCATCTTCTGAAAAAGGGAAAGTGATTTCTCACCTCACCAACTTGAAGGGCACCAGCAAGCAGTGTGAGGAGCATGGGTGTTTGCCTGTGACTGCTTCTTAATGACAGTGGCTTAATTATCTTTAGAATGTGTTGGTCTCTTTCAAGCACGATATTAAATCTTGTGAAGGAAATGAATCATCAAACCTCTGCTTTTTTGATTGCAGTGAAATTTAGTCTTCAGTTTGAAGATTAAATGAGAAATTGCTTTAAAGCGTTTAGTCCCTGGTGGATTGAGGAGTTTTAAAAAAAAATAAAAAAGTGAAGTTGCCACCTGCTGTAATTTGTCCTAATTAACCAGCTTCTTGCCTGAGGTGGGGGAGTGGTGAGGCGAATGAAGAGACGAAGGAGAGAGTGAGGAGTCTCCTTTCCCAAATGCCCTAAATACTGGCAGAGGCGCAAACTCAGTGCAAAAAGGAGAGTTCTCTAAGAAAGCACAGCGAATGCATTTCCAAGACCAGTAAACCAGGCGAGGACCCAAGAATCCAGAGTGAGTTTGTAAGTTTTTTTGAACTTAGACAGAAAGAGTCCTGATGGCACAATAATTAAGCATCTGATGCCTCACTGAAAGTTTGGGATTTCAAACCCACCAGCAGCTCCACATGAGAAGAGATATGATGACCTGCCTCTTGATTTCTACCTGAGAAACCCTATGGGGAAATTGTTTCATGAAATCACGATGAGTTGGAACCAGCTTGGCCACCCACAACAACAACAACAGTGTTACCAACTCTGTAGAGACAGGGAAGTGAAGGACATCTCAAGACCCACCACTAGGGAATTAGAAGGGTCTCTGGGATTTTATTATTGAACCTTCTTGCTTTACTTAGATGGAAAAGGAAGCTAAATAAGGGAGGATGTGGTTTCCAAGGTCTTCAACCAGCGAGGGGCAAGATCAAGACTGGAATCTTAACTCCATGACCTGAGATTCAGTGATCTCTTCATGGTAGAACACTACCTGTCTTTGGGCCTGTCTGAGGCACTTCACAGCAATGGAAGGTCTTTTTCCAAATCAGAGCTGGAGGCAAAAGTACAGTACAGCTGATTTTGAAGGAAGTCTCTGAGTACCTTATAGGATTTGCACTCAACTACTAATCTAAGGCCTGGAAATCTACTTTTCTAAAGAGGAAGCCAAGGACATCTTATGGAGCAGATGCAGATGAGGACACCATAAATTGGAATTAACTTGATGGTTATGGCTGGAGGGTTTTGGTTGCTATTGTTTTTATTGTGATTTTAATAAAAGTTTGCAGAAAGATTGGGTTTTCATCCCTTCATTAATGCACATTTTTCTCCCTCTCCCTCTTCCAATTCACTTTGTAATGCATGTCTTTTTTCAGATTGTTGACATACATGAAATACCTAATTATACATTCCTTTCAGACAGTCCTTTCCTTCATTTGTTCCCGTACAGTGGTATTCATTGTCTATCTAAATTTTCCCTACTCCCGTTTCCTTTGTCAATTCTATTTTATAACAGTGGTGTTACGTGGTATTTATCCTTTAGTGACGGAGATGTTTCATTCAGCATGATATTTTCCAGGCTCACCCATGTTGTGTAGTATTTTACAAGTTCATTATTTTTTAGTGCTGTGTAATATTCTTTTGTGTGAATGTACCACTGTTTTTCTATCCAACTGTTTGTTGATGGGCAGTTAGGCTGCTTCTATCTCTTTACTATTGTGAATGATGCAGCAATAAACATGGGTACAACCCTGTGATTTACTCCCACTCCTCTTGCTTTGGGTCCTCTTAGATGTTTTACTTCTATTTACTTCTATGATTATCCTTCTATTTTTATAATATTGGTCTTATGCAGGTTGCACAGTTGGGTGGGGTGAGAGTGGGAGTGAAGGAAATGAGAAGGACCCAGTGGGGACCTGAAAAGATTAGGTAAAGATGGTAAAGGTCCAATGATGACTGATTTTATAAAACATAATGCATGGGTTGGAAACAACCCAAGTGTCCATCAGCAAGTGAATGGATAAAGAAGCTTTGGTATATTCACACAATGGAATACTATGCTGCATTAAAAAACAAGGAACTTATGAAATATTATACAAAATGGGTGACCCTGGAGAACATTATGCTGAGTGAAATATCTCAGTCACAAAAGGATGGAACTGACATCAGGATTGGGGGGAACGAAAAAACAAGGGTATAAATGAGGTACACTGCATTGAAACAGATGAGGGAAAGAACTGTTTAAAAGGAATAAATGATTGGGTATTATTTTCATGACAAGAGTCCAAATTAAGAGCTGCATAGTAAAGTGGAC